GGATCGAGCCCCGCATCGGGCTCCCTGCTCAGCAGAGAGCCTGCTTCTCCCCTTCCCTCTGCCTGCCGCTCTGCCTACTTGTGCTATCTCTCTGTCAAATAAATAAATTTTTTTTAAAAATCTTAAAAAAGAAAATAGAAGGTGTTGTTCAAGTTAAGGGGCACAGACTCCGCACATGCTTTGTGTGCAGACCTGTGTCAGGGGCCGAGAAAGCCAACTGAGAGGAGCCCTGAAGACCTTATGGTCAGGGAGTAAAGAGCCAGGGAACTGAGCCTGTGGTATACCCTCAGCAGGCAATAACGAAGGGAGGTCTTAAAGTTATTCTCTCTTCTCTCACCTTCTTTGATAAAGGAAAATTATTTTTAAGAAGTACTATTTAAAGTCTCTACCCGTTTTTTTTCCAACTAAAAAAATTTCCACTTAGGCAAGGAAGTTCATATTAGCCAGAGTTTCATGCCTTTCCCATGTACAGGTTTTATGCACACGCCTCTCCAAAGAACAGCAGCTGGAAGCCCTCGGCGGCCAGTCCAGGGCAGCCTTCCACCCTTCATAGCGCTTTCTCCTGAGCAGTCTCAGTTTGGCTGTGTCCAGGGTCTGGGAGCACACAACTTCATGCGGTGACCTATTTTATTACCCATCTGATTTGTTACACAGTTCTTATTTCAAACCAGGTATTTTACTCCTGTTAAGTCTGCCATTAGTCTTGTGTCCGTTTGCCTCTTGCACACAACATTCATTTACATATTTTGAAGTAGTTAACCATCTCCTTTTCCAAAGTAAGTTCTTGCTAGTTCAGGGGTTCTTATAACCTACTTCGATCCCTGGGTGGGATCTAATCCTTTGGAATGGAATCATTGGGATGAGACTGTTAATGTGGCCAAATACTGGTTGGTTACTTGGTTAGTCGGTCAGTTGGTTGATCGGTTGTCTGAACAACCACCTGCACCCTGTTGGCACGCTTGAAGCTTGTAGTCCACCAAAAACTCATCTCTTGGATTCATGAGCTGGGTCTTCCCCATTCTGTACTGGAGTCCTTTTGTTGTTGCTGAAGCATGTATAATTTAGTTAACCTTGTTAAATTTTATCTTACTGGATTTTTTTGTTGTGGTGGTAAAACAGATAACAAAATTTACCATTTTAACCATTTTTAAGTGTATGGTTCGGGTGCAGTAAGTACATTCCCATGGTTGTATAATCATCACCACCATCTGTCTCCAGAACATTTTTCATCTTCCCAAACCAAAACTCTATACCCATTAGACATTATTCCCTATTTCCTCCCACCCCTAGCCCTTGGCAACCTTCTGCTTCTACTTTCTGTCTCCCTGAATTTGACTACTATGGGTACCATATGAGTGAGATCGTATAGTATTTGTCCTTTTGTGACAGGTTTATTTCACTTAGCAAATTGTATTCAACATTCATCCATGTTGTAGCATATGTTAGAATTCCCTTTTTAAGACTGATATTCCATTGCATGTATATACCACATTTTGTTTATGGATTCAACTGTTGATGAGCATTTAGGCTGTTTCCACCTTTAGGCTGTTGTGAATAATGCTCCTGTGAACACGGGTGTACATATATTCATTTGAGTCTCACTGATCTTAATAGCTTCAGCTCATTACATTCTGCCCCTGTTTTGTGTCATTGGATAATTGCAAATCAGATAAGCTTGATCTCCAACTTTTACCCAAGTCTCTTGTTTTTGTTGTTGTTGTTGTTTATTTAAGTAGGCTCCACGCCCAGCGTGGAACCCATTGTGGGGCTTGAACTCATGACCCTAAGATCAAGCCCTGAGCTGAGATCAAGAGTTGGATGCTTAACTGACTGAGCCATCCAGGCGCCCCTTCCCAAGTCCCTTCTTTATAACAGTGTTGTATTTCCTATTGATCTGAAGATATCATTTTTATAAAATGGCCATTTCCCCCATTCTGTCTTTTAAAAATTATAACATGGTCTTCACAGCTGGGCTCTGGGAGCAGCTGCTTTCACAGATTCAGCCTGAGTCTAAGCTTGTTAGAGTTCTTTTGGATCAAGTCTAACTTGGGTATGGGGGGAAATGAGTCAGATTAGGCTGGATCAGAGTGCAAGGTTTGAGGGGGGTTTGTTGTCTTTCTGAAGGCCACTTAAGACTACACAGAAACTAATATCAGGTATCAAAGGCAGGAACTTAATCTTGGGGTGACCTGATGAGAATTGAATTTGTTTGCTCCACAAACATTTATTGAGCTCCTACTTGTGAAATCCACAAAGTGCTTTTGGAATCAGAAGATGAATAAAACACGTTCCCTGCTTTCAAGGTGATTAGAATGCAAAATATTGGAAGAACTTTCTATTGCAACCCAAAGATCTTTAAGCAGGGCTTCATCCCATAGCTGTAAAATATACCTCCTTAAGATGAAGAGGATTACAAAATACATCAAAAAGCAAAATGTGCTCTGAAATTATGTTTTAGTATAGCTGGGTTTTAAGCAAGGATTTGGGGACAGACTGAAAAATGGAACATAAAAGCTTCAGAGGTGTTTAGGTTTCACTTTGGCTAATATAAGAGCACCAGGAAAACAAAAAGTACTCTTGCTCTTGACAATGTAAAATTCTTATTATTTTTAGGGATTAGTAACTATGCATTTATGAAATTCTTTGTCAGAGCAATTTAGTTAATAGGTATGTAAATGACTAGTTATTTTATTGTGTAGGTGGATTGCTCCATGTACACTTTCTGAGGAAGAATATAAGTGCTAAAAACTATTCACATTGCAAATGCAAAGATGAAAAGTTAAAGTTAGAATGCTGTACTTTTGTTGTATTAGGCGTTAGGAATGAGACAGAGAAGATCCATCTTGTCAAAATCTGTTCAGTTCACTCAGTGGAATTTCTTAGTCACATCCAATTCTAACTGCCTGTTTTGGATACAAGAAAACGTGAGTGAATTGGGTGCAAGGCAATTTCTTGTTACTGGTCTTCAAGCCTGGGCACAGGATCATTATAGACCTGGCTGGGGGGTTGGGGGGGGCACTGAAAGCAAGTGCCAGGGCGGCAGAGATACATTTCCATGTGAGATTTGCAGTCCAAGGCATCTAGTGAGAATGGCCCCCAAAAACCACAGGGGTGGGGGCTGTTTTAAAGTTCACTGCATTTTCAGCATGAAAGTAATTCAGAGGAAGTTGGAAATTCCAGAGCCCTTCTGGCTTTAGCCACCTCCTGTGGTCCGCATGGAAGCTTTTATCATTTTTAAGTTAAACCAGGCTACATCTGGGGGCAGAAGTCACCAGTGGGAGAGAGTAAATGGGCCCTGCCGTTCAGATGGTCTCTGGCTCTTCTTTCCTCACTTGAATTCATCCTACCCAGTGAATGAGCCTCATCTTCAGTTGTGTTTCAATCACTACATTCCCCTTCTTTGAAATTTCCTCAGATTCTTAGTTGTCATGCAAATCAAATTAAAATTCTTATTAATGGACAGACCCCAAGCTTTCCACCAATTTGCCCTTCTACCTTCTTACCTAACTAGTCTTGGCTCCCACTACCATCAGTCCACATTCTCCACAGGAGGCCCACAGACAAAACTCACTCATCTGTGTTTTTTCCTGTGGCCTATAGCTCATGGAATTCCTGTTTCTGCCTCTCTTACTCATCAGTAAGCTGAGTTCTTCTCACTTGCCCCTAATCACTTGGCTCTACACAATTGCTGTCATAGGCATGTGTTCCTGGACGTGGCAAGCTCTTCCTGTCCTGTGGCCACTGATGACCAGACCAGGGCTGTGTCCACTTGCCCATCCGCCCGGCTCTGCCAGGGAGCAGGGGGCTGGATTGATTATTTTCATTTAAATTATTCAATAGAGATTTGATGTAACATCCCTTTTTTGTTCCTATCAAATTTTACTGATGAGCTCCTGCCATTATGTTTTTTGGACCAAGTCCAGGACATTTGTTAAAATGTTTTATGTGTTTGCTTTTGCTCTTGTTTTCCTTTTCCTTCAGGTGCAGAGTGAAGACAGTGTCCTCCTGTTTGTTATTGCCTGGACAATCACAGAAATTATCCGTTACTCCTTTTATACTTTCAGTCTATTAAACCATCTGCCTTACCTCATCAAATGGGCCAGGTAAAGTACATGGGATAAAGATTAACTTTTGAAATGACCCATCACTGTATTTGTCCTTTATTGCTAAATATTGCCTCCGAACTCCTAAAAATAAAGTTGTACAATATCAACTGTATTTCAGTTTTTTTTCTTTAATTGTATGAGACAAAAGAGTTGGGATTGGTGATATGAGACCGGTCTGTGGATTTCATCAGGATAAGGGATGCTACTTAACTTTGATTAATAGAAACACTTTGAAGTTTGATATACTTGTTATTTTTATTGGATTGATTATTTTCATTTAAATTATTCAATAGAGATTTGATGTAACACCCCTTTTTCGTTCCTATCAAATTTTACTGATGAGCTCCTGCCATTATGTTTTTTGGACCAAGTCCAGTTCTCCTAGTCTCAATTTTGGCAACAAGCTATGACTCTTAATTTTTAATTAATAACCAACATTACATGCAGTTTTATCTTGTTAGCAATTTTATTTTGCTTTGATAAGTTTTACCAGTAATATTTGTTATGAATTGGGGAAAAGGCTAACAGTTATCTCTTTATACGAACTAATTCATGAGATGGTTATGAGCAGTTTTCTGAGTTGGAGAGGATTATGGGGAGAGTGACAAAGCAAAAGGATCAAAATTGTCCTTGGGGCCCAAGTGCCTCATTTCCTAGAAGGAAAATGGTGGTTCCTAGACAACTTATGAGTTTAATGATTAAATTAGAGACATAAACCAATTGTTTCCAACATTTCAAGTGTGCAAACTCCTTTCTTTCTTTTTTTTTTTTTCCCCCAGTACACAGTTTTATTAGGAAAAGGGAAGAATGGGAAGAGATGGCAGTTACTAACTCACCAACGTGGGCAGGCATTGTGGGAGCTGTCTGCTCTGTTACAGGGAGAGTTGGCTGGCCAAGCCCTGATCTTAATCGTTGTTTTGTCCATGGCTGTGCACGGCCTATGGAAGAATCTTCCCGTTCCACCGTCCTCTTTAGCATAGCTGAAGTTGGCAGCAGGGAACCCCGCAAACACAGCTTCCGCTCTTTGTCACTGATTTCTCGGCACAATTTCTGCACCTGGAAGTTTGCTCGCTGTCAGCCACAAACAGCCAGAGCCTCTTTAAAATTTGAGCTGCTGGTTTCTTTAGCAATTCTTACCCCTCAGAATGATTTCCAGTTAGTTCCATAAGATGAACTTCTCTCTGAATTCTTTTTGAAACATAGAGAACTCCTTTTTGAAGTGAAAAAAATGGTGTGGATTCTTCTGTGTGATAATCATTGTAGGGGTTTTTTATTACTGAAAAATTACACAATGACCAAAAGCTATTGTGAATTTTTTAAGGTTTTTAAAATTGGCATATATTTCATTTTTCATGATGATAATGTATAGACATTTGACTAATAACAGTATAAGCACACTGGATGTGCTGTTCTTTTCAGTCCACAGACCAGACGTGGTGTGTGCTTTGTAGGGATTCTTAGACACGTGCTCCAACATGTCCCCCACAAACTCCCTGCAAACCCCGCAGCTCCACTCCCACCTCTGCCACAGGGCAGGACCCTTCTATAAACCGTGACTCGGCACCCCTGCTTTAATAATGATTGGCATCATCATCATTATTTTAGGGAGTTGTATTGAATGTTGTTTATTTAGTTGGACCAAATTTTGAGGCCAACCAAACACATTTATTTTAGAACATTCAGAGACATACCTGCTATAGGCCCTTTTCAAAAACTGGCTGTAAAACCTGAATTTAAACAGTGGGTAAACGGGGGCATCTGGCTGGCTCAGTCAGTAGAGCATGCGACTCTTGATCTCGGGGTCATGAGTTCAAGCCCCACGTTGGACATGGAACCTACTTTAAAAAGAAACAACTAGTGGGTAAATAGGAAAATGTAGAAATCATAGCTTCCTGAAAGACCAGTACTGATTAGAGGTGTGGGAATGTATCTTTCTACTCATGCTGGCTTCAAGCCTCTTCATGAATATTTTGTTTTGTTTTAGGTACACACTTTTCATTGTGCTGTACCCAATGGGAGTGTCGGGAGAACTGCTCACAATATATGCTGCTTTGCCCTTCGTCCGACAGGCTGGCCTATACTCCATCAGTCTACCTAACAAATACAATTTCTCCTTTGACTATTATGCATTCCTAATTCTGATAATGATCTCCTACATTCCAAGTAAGTAAACAGTTATGCGTATATATATTTATGTTTTTAGAATTGGCTCTACAATACTTAGAGTCAAATGCCTTTGGATGTTTTTATACCATATCCAAGTAAATGTAAATCTAATTTATTAGGAACACTTTGGTTTTTATTGAATGCTGTCTGTCAGAGGGAATTTTCTCTAGTAGTAATTGAATAAAGATGGACCCTTCTCAATACAGCTGCCAAAATGCAGCCCTTCTCAGTGTGTGGGTTTGAAACAGTGAATAGCAGGAAAGGTGAACTACCTATTGGGGGAATGTACTGAATGCAGAACAAAAAAGGCCATTAAAGACCTTACCTTGGGGCGCCTGGGTGGCTCAGTTGGTTAAGCAACTGCCTTCGGCTCAGGTCATGATCCTGGAGTCCCGGGATGGAGTCCCGGGATCGAGTCCTGCATCGGGCTCCTTGCTCGGCAGGGAGTCTGCTTCTCCCTCTGATCCTCCCCCTCTCATGCTCTCTGTCTCCCATTCTCTCTCTCAGATAAATAAATAAAAAATCTTTAAAAAAAAAAAAAAAAAGACCTTACCTTGACTTTTTCTGTCTCTGGAGAACTGCTTGTTATGGTATTTGGAAAACATTGTAAAGAGATATTTGCATTTTCATTATATCAAAATAGACATTTCATTTTTAAGGAATCAGCAGCTAACTAGAAACAAGTAACAAAATAAAAATAGATTATTTTTTTCTATATTTCTTATTTTCTTGTTTGGAAATAAGCACTGAAATCATCTGAACAGGACATAATGTTCTCTTCAGAACAGTTTCCAGTTATTTTAATAGTACTGCTAAAGGTTTAAATTCGGATAATCAAAAGTGCCTGTCAGCGTACTACGTACCGAGGAGAAATGGCCATGTCTGAGGCTTCTGTGAAGTGAGTCCTGTTTGCTGAGGAAGAGTTGTTTAGTCCTTTTCTCAAATTCTGATATTCACTTAAAATTCTATGACTGATTTTCATGTATCCAAAAGGATTTTGAAACCTTAAGAAGTTAAGGTTTCTTCTCATTTAGCTATTTCTGTAGCCATTGTCACTGTGAATCTTATTTTGGTCTGTAAGATGCCATATTCTTCCCTAAACCTCAGGTTCAATTCAGACAGGAAGGTTGGATTTTTCTCCAGCCCACAGCATGAACTGAATGAATCATCGTAACAGTCGTAAGCGACATGTTTGTGTCCCTCTGTGGAAAATTGTATTTCATGCATTGTGAGAAAAAAACTACATCCAGATTTCATATGACCGTTTATCTTGGAGAAATTCTTGGACAGCAGTTCTGCTTAATGATTCATTTTCCACTCTTTATTAATTATCAGGTCTTCCTCTTTGGTACTGGAACCATGGTGGCCAAAGGCCTTTCTCTTAAATTGAAAAAGGTAGTTGATTTTCAAAGAAAATGTAAATAGGGAAGAGTCTAAAAATTTAATAAAAATTAGCTTACAGTTGTTCATCTTTTTAGTTTTGTTCCCTTAGAGTTTCATTTTCCAGTCTCTAGAGCAACAGTTCCTACTTGGAGTTTTGCCACACCCAGAGTAACACATATTATCCCAGTGGGCACCACAGGATTTATTAAAAATCAGCATAAGGGGGCGCCTGGGTGGCTCAGTCGGTTAAGTGTCTGACTTCAGCTCAGATCATGATCTCGGGGTCCTGGGATGGAGCCCCAAGTCAGACTTCCTGCTCAGCAGGGAGCCTGCTTCTCCCTCTCCCTCTGCCCTTCCTCCCTGTTTGATCTCTGTTCCCCCCCCTTCTCTTCCTCTCAAGTAAAATCTTTAATAAAATAAAATAAAATCAGCATAAGGTTTGAATAAGAGATAGATGCCAGATTGGATAACTGGAAAAGGAGCAGGGAGGGTGTGATGAAATCAAACCAATAGCAGGATGCTGCCACATTGACAGAAATCTGGGACCCCTACCTGAGAGTTGCTCTAAGATCTTAGTCTGCCAAAGAAGGAGGGTCCTCATTCCAGGAGCAGCTCTCCAGGACAGCCTCAGTCTCTCTGTACCTCCCCTTTTTTTTTGTGCTCTGGTGGCCAACCAGCGCCCAGTCTTTTGCCTCTGCCTCCTGACCCCTTGATCTAGTTAAGGGGCCTGGTCAAGCACAGTAGCCCTCCGTAGTGATAGGATTCCTGAAGGAAAACAAACCCCATTCTGTGGGATTTTCCTTCTGGGCCTTCAGATGGAGAGAGAATTAAAAACACAAAAAGAGTAGGGCGGGGCTCTCAACCCAAGTTGGCTTTCTTTACCTTGGTTCCTTCCCCTTCTTTGTTTCTCAGCCTCCTGTTGGTAAGAACTTGGGTGGTGAAAGTCTCTATTATTTCTTTCTTAAGGTAGTTTAACTCCTATAGACCAAGAAAAAGGGTTGATTTCAAATAAAGATGAACAGATTTTCTCCCAATCCCTGACCCCGCACCCAGGCTCAAGATGATGGCCCAGACGGTATCTTCTGCTACAGATCATTTGTGTCTGCTGGCACTCATTATGCCTTTGGCCTGAGCCAGTTGCCCTGCATGTTTTTAGTTGTTTAGGTTGTTAATATTGAGACCAGTTTGTACAGTTCATTCCAGCGAGCAGCACATTTCCAACTTTCCAAAACTTTGTATTTATAAGAAGAAAATGCAGAGTTAAGAGGGGTTGCTGTTGACATCCAGTCTTCTTTACCAAATTTGGTTTTCTTTCTGCAATGTAAGTTTCTTTTAATCTTCTTTAATGGGAAGTTGGTGATATACATGTATTATACAAAGTAACACCCTTTCATTGTTGTACATGTGCTCAAATTGTGGCCCATGAGCCTCGGCCCCAGGAGTTTTCTCATATTGGGGTGCTGTGGAATCCCTTGCAAGGTGCTCCTTTCCCACTTTGCTGCAGCTGCAGTATGTACAGTCTCTCCAAACTCGGTAGACATCTAAGTCCTGTCTACATTTCCTGCCCCCCAAATTGGTAAAAGTTGGCTTTTACCACCCAATAGGAGTGGGGATTTAAAAAAAAAAAAAAAAGGCTGAGAAATGAGAAACACTGGTGTTGGATGATGATACTGAGAAGCTGGGCGCTGTCCAGGTTGTCAGTAACCATAACCACACCTCAGATTTTTAGAGAGACCAAGAAGAAACTTGGCCCAGGCAGAGCATTTCCATTTGCTCTCAGCCTCCAAGTTTTCCTCTGCCTAGAGGAACCCCTACCCCCACTGCAACACTCGCATGCACAGTGACCATCTCTATTCCATGTGTCCTGGACTGGGAGAGCAGAAGGTAGAATTCAGAATAGCCTGTTGTCAGGCTGAGATTGTCTTGGGGTTTTTCTTCATTGTCGTCTGTGGTTAAAAAGAGTAGCCATGCATCTGGAATTGTTTCAGCTGTTACAGTTGAGCCAGTCTAAACATGTGGGAAATTCAGATGGAGACAGTGTCACCCAAGTTCTGGTCACCAAGAAGCCATTACTAGAACTGTAGAGAACCTCCGGCCCAAGTGCCCCCATTCTCCTGGCCTCGCCTACACACATTCCTTTGCTTGGGCGCTGAGAAACCTCTGAAGTTGCAAAGAATTGAAAGAGCTATATCTGCCCTCCATTTCTGACCTCTGGCCCTCCTGGTAGCCAGCAGGCCCTTGCCTGTGGGGATGAGGATACTCCACCATCTTACTTTAACTGCCACCAAGGGCCTGATGAATGGTTTCTAGGTCATCCTTCCTCAGACCCTCTGAACTAGCAGGGAAGCTTTAGCCACCCCTGCAACCGGTGGAAAAATCCTTAGTGTACTTTGCCACAAATTTTCCCTTTAGTAAAGCATATCTATAGAAATATGACTGGCCCCACATTTTTAAATGATTGCAATTAGCATTCCTTATGGTTTAATTATATCTTTACTTCCAGTTTTTAGATTATAGAGCTTGTCAAATTTTCTGGCTTTCATACCAGAATAGTTCTCTCCCCTGTTGAATTCTATGCACAAGCTGGGTCTTTTCTCTGCATAACTTCCTGCCTACAAATAGCGAGTGGACTGGATGGCAGCCCTGTTCAGCGTCGGAGCCTCCTCTGAAGTTTATCAGATCTGTGTGCACACACCCACTGATGTCTTGGAGTACTTTGGGAGGATCATTTGAAATTTGGCCAACTTGGAACCCATTTAAAAAGGAAGAGACTGTTGGGGTGCCTGGGTGGCTCAGTCAGTTAGGCGTCCGACTCTAGATTTAGGCTCAGGTCTTGATCCTCAGGGTCGTGGGTTTGTGGGTTTAAAAAAAAAAAAAGAAAGAAAAAGAAACTGTCAGGGGAATTGTAGAAATTACCTCCCCAGAAATACAGGTTACTTTCCACAAAATGGAGATTGGAGCCGTTGAGAAGGGAAAGGAAGGAAGGAAGGATAGTGTACATTTAAACCAACTCACTGGGGTTCTTACGTAGTTGTTGAACCCCCAGTTCACAGTAGCTTGGTGAAGGCAAGTAGCTTCAGCTGGCTTTTCCCAGCAGGAATCCTTTAGGCATTTGGGGTAGGACATTCTTAGTTGTGGGGGACCGTCACACATTGCAGATTTTGGCATTCCTGCTTCGTGTGCTGAATGCCAGTAACCTCCCTCCTGCAAATCTACCCCCCTCCCCCCAGCTTCCAAATACTCCCAGGGAGGTGGTACCACCCAGTTTCTTTAGAACCAGTACTTTGTAAAGTAACCTATGAAATGACCACAAATAGGGGCGCCCAGGTGGCTCATTCAGTTAAGCGGTGCAGCTCAGGTCATGATCTCAGGATTGTGAGATGGAGCGGCACTCAGGCTCCATGCTGAGCAGAGTCTGCCTCAGATTCTCTCTCCCTCTCCCCCCGCTTGCTTGCGCCCACGCTTGCTCTCTCTAAAATAAATAAATCTTTAAGGGGAAAAAAAAAAAATGACCAAGAACAGAATCTCTAGTGCCTAAGATATTAGCTTACTTTTCATAAGGACTTTCTACAGCCAAACTTGGCTTCTTCATGTTCAGATAAAATGTCATGGCCCTCTTCCCCCTCCTCAGCCTTCCCCTTCAAAGAACAACCTTTCTCAGGAAATGCTTTTGGGAGATCCCCTCAGGTGACAGAAGGGACTAGATTGAGTGTCAGGAGCCCGGAGCCTGGTCCTGATTGTCAGGAATTTGCTGTGAAATCCCAGGCAAGTCCCCTACCCTCCCTGGGGCTTGAACTCCTCCTCTGTAAACAGGAATAGTAAGTCCATCACTAGAATTCACCTACTGGTAACATCAGAGAATAAATGTGAAGATACTACGAGGGAGGGTAGAGTGTTATTTGGCGGCTTTGTGGCATCTCGATGGGTAATGATAGTGATGGTACTATGTGTCACTCCAGTCCGGACCACCCTTCCCCTTCAGCTAAAAAGTAAGTCCCTGTGCATTTTTCCTCCCCTTACCCAAGCCCACCGTGTTCCCTTCCTTGGTTGCTGGATGAGAAAGTGAGTCAAAGAGAACATACAGTTTTAAATGATCTAGCTCCTTAACCAGTTCTTTCTTTTCTTTCAGTTTTTCCCCAGTTATACTTCCACATGATACACCAGAGAAGAAAGGTCCTTTCTCATACTGAAGAACACAAGAAATTTGAATAGCTCCAGCTTCCTGCACACCCCCAAAAAACTTTTCAATGACAAAAAATGCTGCAGACTTTTTGAGTTCCCAATACGTTTCATAGAAAGTAAGTAAGAACTATTTTTAAAATATTAAAAAAATAAAACAAAAACCCAAATCCAGTGTCACACAGGCCTGGGATTTTATTTAAAACAACAGCAACAACAAACAACAACAACAAAAACTATTACATAAAACATCCTGGCTGGTCCATTTCAGCATGCTCTTTCAACCAGAAGTTCCCAGTATCTATGATGGCGCTGGAAAGGGATTTGGTGTTTTATATCCTCCTGTTTCCTTCATGTATCTGATAAGTAAAGATCTGTAATACTAAATACTTGAGAGTTACAGTCTGAGTAAGGAAGTTGTACCAGCTGAATGCCCAGCTTGCAGTAAGAGTTCTGTTCCAGTCTGCAGTGTTTCGCATTCCCTTTTCAAAGTGCTTGACTGCATGCTGGAAACTGTATTTTTGAAGCGGCAAACTTTGTTCTCTGGAATGTTACGAAGTTATGGCTGGGATCTGTCTCCCCCTGTCTAATGAATGAATTATACCATGTATATGTCCGTGAAGCTTTGGGGTAGTACCTGTAATCTGAAAACAGCTAGAACCCTTTTGTTTGTTTTCAGTGGAGTCATTACAGCCTGCCACTAAGAAACGTGCTTGGATTTAGTAAGTATGTGTACATCGTAGAGAACCTATCTTATCTAGGGCTCAGCCTCAATCATATTTTAACACAGTGACAGTTCTCAGAAAGGGAAAGCTCAATCGCCAGTAAATGACAAGTACCTTTCACCGTGTCATTCTCAGAACACCTCTGAGTAATGTATTTACCCATAGCTATTCTCACTTTTGGACCCAAAGCCAGGCTAGTCACGTAAGGGTTAGAGAATCTGTAATTGTGAAAGCACATGGAAGGTGTTACTCTAGAAATGTAGACCTGAAGAACATTTAGGAATAGGTTTCTATACCCTTATTACTTTATTTTTAAATTTCCTTCAACTCTTCAGTTAGGATCCTTTTCCTAATTACGGTCCTGTGTAATCCCCACCACGCTGTAAGTCCAGAGGTGGTGAAGTGCTCCAGTCGGGCAGACATGAGCTAAAAACAGTTCTCTCTCCCGTGTGTGGGAGCGGCCTAGAAATACTTCGGTCATGTGGACCGTGTCTAATTGCCGTCATGTTTTCATACCATTTAATTGCTGAACTGTGCATTTAAGACTCTAGGAGAAAGGGTTGATGAAAATGTAAAGCCCAAGTTCAGATGTGCATTAAATTTTAAACACAGAATGTTCTTTGTGGATTCTTTTCTCCCCTTTTTCTTTTTAAATCGTTGATCTTTAAAATTTTAAAGGCCTAGTTACTAGCTTACTGAGTAGTTATTTAAAATATAATTGCTAATATCAGAAGAGTGTCATAATGGAAAACTCATTTTTTAAATTATTTTCATAGAAGCCTGATAATGAAGATGAAAATGAGAAGAAAGTATGGAGCCTAAAAAAAAAAAAGTATGGAGCCTAAAATTTAATGCAGGCAGATGTGTAATAAAATTGTTTTTGAATTGAACATTAAAATTCTGCTTCTTTAAGTCAGCAGTCTTAACTTGGGCATGTTGAGACTAGAATCTGTTCTTGTACTTCATAAACTAAATATAGAGGAAAGATTATTTTTCATGTTTTTTTTTCTTTTTCCAAATGTATTTCTGCTGTAAAATAGAAACAATTTGAGTTATATTAGTCTTAATTACTTAGTTTGGGTAAGATTTTTTTCAGTCATTTCTGGAATAGTTATAGAAGATAGGGTGAAAAACATAGGTTTTCCAGGATCGCTGGATTGGGGGTTTTATTCGGGTCTCTCTGTTATAATTTGTCACTATTTATGAAAAATAGTCTGTCGCAAACAGTGGTGTTGCATCAAATTGAGCTTTGGCAGCAAGAACACAGCAAGCAACTCCCTCCTCAAAAAGGGTCTCCACCCCACTGTGTATTTTTGTCCATCGACATTTAAGATGCTCATGGCAGATAACTAAGGCATGCACTCGGCCATGTCCTTCATTCACCTCTCTCGGTAACTGGTTGCTTTATCTCTGACACGAATTAATTTCTCCTTTGAAGTGATGGTGTTCTATGAATTGGAGAACATCTAACCCCACCAACTGTCACATCTTATAAAGTGTGAATGAGGAAGGCGGTGTTTGGTGGGTATTTTGTCAGACTTCCCATTTTCATTTTAGGACATAGTCAAAGGCATCATCTGCCCCGCCGCCCGCCTGGTTGGGTGTTTCAGATTCCCCCCTTCGGGACCACCTTCCGGCAGAGAATTCTTTGAGGTACGCAGTAGTGCTTTGTAGACACAAGCTGCTAATCTGCATCTTGCTGTGTTCTGTTTGCTCAGGTTGGGATCACTCATTTAACACATACCATTATCAAAGGCACCAGGGAGAGTTAGTCATGGAATAAAGCAGTGTCCTTCCAGATAAAATCCGTTCCTCTGGAGTGAACTTCCCACAGAAAGGGTTTAGAAGAACTAGAGGTAAAGAGGCATATGAAGATGGTGTCCTCATCTCTACTGGTTTGTTTGGATTATTCATTTATAACAAAAGACGGGCACTGATGTGGTACAACCTGCAAATTACTTTCAGTTCAGAGTTTCTAGATAAAACATTATAAAACATCAATATCAGTACATACTGCTCCTTTGAAATTTGGGTAAAAAATTATACAACCATATATATAGTCCATTTTTGTATTTTTTCTATGTTGTGAAAACCAAAATTGTAATTTTATAAGTCTTTGATTCACTAAAATTATATAATTTAAATGTATTTTTTGTATATTTAGAAATAAGGAGTTCAAAGGCTATGCCTAACTTTCTATGCATGCATTTGAAGCTGTTTTTACCTGATAATGTTAATGTAGTAATAAGTTGTATTCATAAAATACTGATCTGTGTTGCATTTCAAAATAAACTGGTGTGTGCTCTGCCTGGATTTGAAATACCAGTGAGTCTAGTGATTTTTCACATTAAGTTGGCCTGAACGTGGTGTTATAGGAATATGGAGGAGTTTCAGTTTTGTCATGGATTCCAGTTCTTTCTTTCATAGGTTTAAAATCTATTTCTCCTATTCGTAATGCACTTACACAGGAGAAATAGACAGATTATATTAAGAGGTTTCCAAAAAGTTGTCCTTCCTGCCAGTCAGTCTTCAAGCTTACCAAGCCCCTCTCAGCCTGGCCACAGAGGGACAAGAGGGATTACTCATATAAGCCACCAGGAAATCCAAGAAAGTCAGTAAACGATTGAGGATCCTTGTCTTACAATGTTTGGGGTTTTGTTTTGGTGTTTTTTTACAATGTTTTTTTAATCTAACTTTTCTAATATAAGAGGGGAACTGTTGTTGCCTGGCAATGTTCATCTTATATTAAAACAAGATGTGGTCAAGTACCTCCTGAAAATGCCTCCAAATACAGAGCAATCCTAGGAACCGCTTTACCCGCTCTCAAGTTCACAGTAGGCGGTGGTGGGAGGGACACGGGCAGGATACACCCCGCTTGGCCACTTCCGTCCTGCTAATTCTAGACCCCAGACCTCTTCACCTCAAAACGAAAGCACCGATGTGTCCATGGGATGGGCATTGTCTAGTGGGTGGTCGCTGAGTGATCTCATGTGCCTCCAGCGGTTAACATGCCCACTGCCGGGTTGGCCAAGTCTTTCTCAGAGTTAACCATCACCGTTGTCCAAGACTGTGGTCCTTGTTCCAAAGGGAACATTTTCTTCCTACCTGCGGTCCGATCACAGGCTCAGACGTTACCAGCGCGGTGGTTGTAGAAGCACTCCTCGTGTATGCAATCTAGTCTCTTTCAGACATAGGCATTTCATTTACGAAAAGAATCATTTCAACTAAAGCTGAGGTGAGATGGTAGAGTTCATAGTAGAGGCTACCCAGAAAATAAAACCTTTACAATCTTAGGGTGGTAATGGGAAACCAGGGCTTTCTAATTTGTCATTGTCATATTTTGTGGCAATTACGTGTACTGTGTTAACATAATAAGCTCTAGCTTATTACCATTGGTATAATTAAGAGACCTACTGTTACACAGTGTTCCAAAAATACCGCTGTGTTGTTCTGTTCCCTTTAACAAGAATGAAGGCTAGCTTTGCAATTCCTCTTATTATTTAAAAAAAAAAAATCCCAACCTTACAAATGGACTGGCTCATTGTCATACAGTTTAGTGGTAAAGAAGCTGTTCTAAGCAACTCTTACCAAAAATAGCCATACCTATTAACATTCCCCTGCCTGCAACTGAGAACCAGAGTTACAAGGGAGAGCTGCACGGGTCTTTGACCAACACTTCCTTTTAATTGTGAGAGACTATTTAATCTTTTTTGCTTTCAAATTTAGAAGGCTACTCCTTAGTGTTACTGGGGCAGATCTCATTACCAAAAATCTTTTTTTTTTTTCCCAGAAAAGGCAGTTCACCCTAAAAAGTCCCATTCAAAGAGCAAAAATAAAACATGAGAAAGGCTGTGTATATTCGCACCTAGTACCCATTTCATAAATCTCTTTATGTTTGGAAGTTGTGTTTTCTGCTCACTAGTTCCAGAACATAGACTTGTTAGCACAGCAGCACTTTCACATCTATCTTCGGCCTTCGTGGACGCAGTCCGGATGCATTTCCAGATACCGCACTTGGTTGAAGGCCAAACTCCACTTCTGCGTTGCTGTAGCTGGGCTCCCCCGCTGGGAGGCAGCACCTCACAAGCGATCGGGGCCTTGGAAGCGTGAGGCCTTTGGAACCGGGCTTCAGCCCCACGACGCCGAAGGAGCTGAAAGGCACAGGAGTGAAAATTAGGCACGGGTCTCTATTGTCCATATAAAGCAAAGGCAGTCAGATCTTAAAGCATATTCTGGAGGGGTCCAGGAAATAACACTTTTTTTTAGAGCAAAAAAGCCAGATTGGATGTGTGTTTTGAAAGCTCCATCTATTTGTTCTCTCCCCAACGCAGAACCCTCCCCAGCATGGACCCTGCAGGGCTTTTGGAGCTCGTCGGAAAGCAGGTGTTAGCGCTCCTGTTTAATGGAGAGCCTGCTTGTTAATCTTTGAAACGTTCGGGGAGTCAGTTCCCACTCTTCTTCTGTCTCTGGATATTTTTGGAGGGTGGCCTGGGCCATGAGAAAATGTCAGGCCACCTTATAAGGCTGCGTCTGGCCCCGAGAATGCTTGTCTGCAGCATGTCCAGTACACTTTGGGGGTGTGAGTTAACTTGACTCTTGGACTGTGGGTTTTCTCACATGTAAAATGCTTCTATTCATGCCATGGATTATTCTTACTCTTTAACAGGCTTAAAGTCTTCCTCAAGAGAGAGCTATTTAAATGACACCAATTTTGGACATACCAGCTAGATAACCAAGGGTACATGTAATCCTCAACAAGCAAACTAGTTGATTGTGCTGGGGTCCATAGAAAGAGTCTACTGCAGGTGGTTTCCTGAACTAGCTAGCGTATGTCAAAGTGAAATGCATAGAATATTGGTTCTGAGGGCACCTGGGTGGCTCAGTCGTTAAGCGTCTGCCTTCGGCTCAGGTCATGGTCCCAGGGTCCTGGGATCGAGCCCCACATCAGGCTCCCTGCTCGGCGGGAGGCCTGCTTCTCCCTCTCCCACTCCCCCTGCTTGTGTTCCCTCTCTTGCTCTCTGTCAAATAAATCTTTAAAAAAAAAAAAAAGAATATTGGTTCTGAGTAATGATGGGAGGAGAACTGTGGGGGGGGGATTCTGGGGTTAAAAAGTTAAAACAAATTTAAAGTTTTTTTCTCCTATGAAACTTTTCAGATCTTTTTGCATGTGAATGCAATTTGTGAATCTCCAAGAGAGGGGGATGTTAATGCAGGATTTTCCAAAGCTATTTTCAACATTTGTCCTTGAAACATCTTCAGAGCTAAGGCTCTTTGAACACCTTGAAAAATACTAATCTGAGGGCGCCTGGGTGGCTCAGTCGGTTAAGCATCTGCCTTCAGCTCAGGTCATGATCCCGGGGTCCTGAGACTGAGCCCCAAGTGGGGCTCCGTGCTCAGCGGGGAGCCCGCTTCTGCCTCTGCCCCTCCCCCTGCTCATGCTCATCTCTCTCTCTCAAATAAAATCTTCAAAAAAAAATAATCCCTGTTGGCAGCTTTCCCCATGGGGGACTATCAACCCATGAGGGGTGGGGGGACAGTAAGAGATGCGGGCTTAGCCAGGGATCTGGGAAGATTTTCCTTGTTTTTGTTTTTAATAATCCACCATCGTCAAGTAGATAAATGAATTGAGAAGCCAGATGTCAGCAGCCCCGGACAGAGTCTGCCATTTGCTGCGTTCTGGTGGTGTCTGCCAGGGGCTGGGAACTCATGTGTTGGCGAAGACGTGGCTGGGACCGGCAGACCTGAGAAGACCAGGGCCTCGGGCGCTGAACACCCCGAGCTGGGAGCAGCCCAGCCGCGCCCCTCCCGCGCCTACGGCCCAGCTCGGGAACACCGACTCAGGTGCCCGCCGGCAGAGCCCCTGCCTCAAGCTCGCGTCCTCCTTGAGACTGCTGGCGTCCGGAGACCGTCTTCCACGCTGCACCCACATTCCCCAGTGTTGCCAGGGGGTGGCTGCGCTGTCCTGGCGTGCCCTGTTACCTGACAAGGCCTTCGAGCTCCTTCCGTTCTGTGTCCTATCCTCCCCCGGCAGCTCCCCACGTACACCCTCAGGAGGAGAGAGGCCAACGCGCGCAGCGCGCGGAGGAAACCAGGCCGCACGGGAAGACGCGGCTGCGACTAGCCCTCAGCCCACGCTCACGCACGCGCGCACGTACGCACGCACACCAGGGCACCTCCAGGGCTGTGCCCGCTCTCTTCTGCCCAGACCCATCCCACGGCCTGGCTGAAGCTCCTAGCTCTCTTCCTCTGCTCCGGGTCTCTCTCCCTGCTCCCTGAGTTCCCCCACCCATGAGCCCGCAACCTTCCCCAGCAGCCCTCTCGTGCCAAACTCCATCGTTCTCACCATCATCACGAACCTCCGTGCCCTCCTGCCCTCCCTCTGCACCCTCGTGGCAAAACCCCAAGCTGGGATCAGTCCAGCGGCTACCCTTCCCTGTGCCTCTCGTGCCACGGACTGCCGGCCTGGCCCACCGTCCAAGAGTCCCTTCAAACCCCATCATCCTTAAACCTCTGACTCAGCCCAGGAAAGCACCCCCAGTGTCACCGAGAAAACAGCCATCAGACAGCAACTCCTGCAACTTTCTTCGCCAAATTATTATAAACTTGCCCATACAAGAGAACTTTTCTTGTCCTACTGTTAGAATGGAAGGGTGACCCTCTAACCAAAGCTAACCCCTTCCTTGTGCTCTGGGTGTTTCCAACTTACTCCCCACCCCCTTCTGGGACCTGACTCTAGCCCTCTCTGTGCTTCCTCTTTGCCAGCAATTCCCATCCACTGCCTCCCCATCTTGGCCTTGACCCCCGTGCACTCCACGGCTACCCCCCCTCTCCTCCTGCTCCTTGGAAGGGTTGGCTACAAACACTTCTCTATTTCTCGCCTCCCACTCTCTTCTCTTCTCACTACTGCCTGGTGCTTCCCACTATGCCATAGCTCTGTTCATGGTCACTTGTGACCTTGTTATGAAACCCAATGCACACTTTTTAGTCCTTGTCTTTTGGTTGAAATTGGGGTGCCATCATGCTGGGTGTTAGAAATGATGGTATGGTTTTGGAGTAGACTGGGGGGTCCAGCAGTACCATATCCTGGGCCTGAACTCATTTCTCCCCCATGCATCCCTAATGAAGGTGTAGGCAAAAGAAACAAGGACAAAACACGTAATGGTTAACTGTGGCATGAGCCCCAGAAGTGCATTCTGGGAAGCTGGGCAAACCTCACGGAACACTCCTGCTTCCTAAACTAGCAAGAGGTGGTAAGTAGCTGGGACTGAAGGAATTTGTGAGGCCTGCTCAACTCACCTCCCACCCCCCTCATCTCATTTTTC